CAAACTGCTGGAGATTTGTGACCTTGGAACTTATTATTGAACAATGAAAAAAAAATGAGTTTGCCTTTACTAGAAGTAATTAATGTAACATTTTTTATTTTTCCTAAATTGTATAGGACCAAAATGATTTCCAACAGAGCTGCTCTGAAATAGAAAAGATTTTCCAAAGAAGCAGCCTTTTTGTCCTCTGAAAATGTTTAAGCAAATGCTGAATAAACACTTAATAGACTTGGATTTCCAGCATTGGTGAAAGTCTAGACTAGATGACCTTAGATTCTTTCTAAAAGATTCAGGCTTTACCATTCTTAAAAACAAAATAATGGAGCAGTCCACAGTTGGAACAGAAGACTGTGGGATCCATTTTGTGCCTTCTTTGCTCTCCTAGGATCACTGCTTTAAGGGATCAGTGTGGAGCATTGTTTCTCATCACCTTACAGAGCCCCTTCTCCTTTTTCCAAATACGTTGTCTGCTGCTTTATAGTTTCCAGAGGGAAGGAGGTAGGACATAATTGTGCTTTAGTGTAAAAGATGTTTTTGTTGTTTAGGTGCACTGATTTACAGAGAGAAGAAAGTGTTTTAGAGTAGATGTCAGAAGTTTTGTTTTACTCTAGTAATTTAAAGAATCTTAATCTTTTTTGGTTTAGTTGTTTTCCTTTTGGAAGATGGACCAAATATTCTAGTCTTATTAATAGAGGATATTGTAGAGACACATTGAAATGATAATACTTTGGAAAGTAATGGTAGTGAAGGCATTTATTAGAAATATTTTGTACTATTTGAGTTTCTAAGTTGGAAATACATTATCTGAGGTCAAAATAAATAGTTCATTATTAAACTGATGTCTCTATGCTTTGAATTTCAAGATGATAATGAGAAGCTAAAATAATTTAAAAAACAAAAATGAAATACAAATGAGTCTACCTTTATGCATTGTGGACATTATCAGAAACATCAGATTTAATCATTCACAGTGTTTAATTGGGTGTCTTAGATCAGAAATAAGGGCAAAAAAAGTTTAAATTCAGATTTGAATTCCTAACATGACCTAAAAGTGGCAAAGAAAGACAGAGGGACTGTCTACAAGTTATTGTGGAGCTTCTTTTTTTCTTTCTTCTTAGTTTTTCTTTTCTCATGAACCATGTTTGACTTAATCTATCAGGATATCAGGAAAATAAATTAACATACATGCTTTAAAAAAAAATGACAGTCTGCTCCTATACATTATCACAACATTACAGAAATTGGAAGATGAACTGCAAAGTAAACAAATTTGTCTTCTGGAATGGTAATGTAACTGGTAGTTTTGTGAGGTTCTTTTTTTTCTTTGTTTTAGACTCTCTTTTTTTTTTTTTTTTAACTCTCCCAAGACCCATTCTGGTATTAAAACTTTTTCCTGTCCAGCTCCAGATTCCTGCATTTTCTTGTCTACCAGGATATATATTTTTTTAAACCATGGCTAACCCTGAGTATTAGTCAGTAGGAGAAAATTTGTCTTAGGTCTTCCCTGTTTCTCTTTATATTATATATTTCAGATGTAACTTACGGGTTTCTTGTCTTCTTGCTCTCAGGCAGCCATATTGATGTCCAGATCTTTTTCATGATGCCCCTTCACCAAAATTTATCAATTGTATTCCCTTTCTAGTAACCTCCTGTTTTGTGGTGATTAATTCCCTATTCACCTAGGGAATTGTGTTAGTAGCTGTTGGTAGGTTACCACTCTCTGACCCCCACCCTCTTTTATTTAAAAAACAAACCTGAAAATGCCTGAAGACCTATTTTGGCCTTACTCTGCCCTGTAAATTGTACCACGGGTGTCCGTGGCCTCTGTGAGTGCCTACTGTACTTGGAGGTGGGGGGTTTGCTTTTGCCTTCCCCTCCTTTGGCTGCTTTGAACAGTAGTGGTTGTCTTGCCTCAGGTCTTCAACTCATACACTCAGGGCAGGTTTCATGGGCAGCGCACAGGGTCCCACGCTGGCTTTAATGTTTTCCTGTTGTTACCTTGAAAGTCTTATTTATTATTTTTTTTACAAGGGCCTTTGCATTTCCCTTATAAGGTAGACCCTGGAAATTATGTAGCCATTCCATGCGTAACCTATTATTCGTTGCCTGCTTTATCTCTTCCATTTGCTTCCAGCTTTCCCTGTGGGCTTCCTGTGCTGCCTGATTGCTCACCAGTTTCTGCTCACCCCACTTTACTCACCCTGCCACTCCCTGTCATGTTTTTAACTCCTTTTTTCCCCTCCTAACTTCTCTTCATTTCAACTAACCCTGAAGTGCTCTCTTGGACTCACAGGGTTTGGCTTTTATAATTACTTGATCAGTTTGCTGATCATAGGTTACAGTACTATCTTGAGCTTTGACAAAAACTTTTACTCAAATTCTGTCGAGCCCCTGTAATAATTGTTTCTCCAGCTTCTGCCTGTGACCTCTGTACCTCAGAAGACAGGAAATATGTGTTTGTTTCTAGTCAGTTGCGTTCTGTGTTTAATTGAGGTGTAACTGCATTTATATTGAGTCGCGGGAGAGGATGAGTGAGTTACTGATGATCTGGAGTCCATCAGAGGTTAGGGTAGAAACTTCGCTGTAGTAGTAATAGCATCTGCAATTCGCAGATGGAGTAAGATGAGTAAACTAAATGATCTACCCTCTAGATAACAGAATAGCATTAAAGTTTTTTTTTTCTTCCTTGAATGATTATACTATAGAACATAGTTTCAGATCTAAATGCCAGGAAATTACAATCAATTCCGGTAGGGGAGATAGAAAATAAATAAGTTAAAATATGTTGTAATGTTAACAGTAAATTATGCTAAGAAAAGTCACGCAGGACAAGGAAGGGCTCTGGGTTGGTTGGGATGGGGTGGTAGGAACGGCTGTTTGATTTTCAGACAGATTAGTCAGGGTGGCCTCCCTGAGGCATTAGCATTTGAGCAGATACCTTACATGAAGCAGGAGGGCCATGACAACTATGAAGAGCAGCCCCAGAGCAGAGAATACAAGTTCGGATTTCTTCAGGAGATTCAGTTCCTTTGAAAGTGTAAAATAAGAGGATATATATCTTGTGATGGTCAGAGATCTACTCTTACGCACTTGAATGTTTGATCTACGTATGTATCAGCCAGTGAGTATTTCTGTTCTTAGGCCCAGTTTGAGGTTGGTGATGGTATCAAAGAAACTTCATCAGGCTTTGCCTTGTAGCAGATGGTCTTAAAGGTGGGGCATATCTTCATGCAGTTTGTCCTCGTTAGTTGATTGTCCAATATGAAGCAGAAAAGCAGATTAGAGTATTTGTTAAAATAGAATTCCCCCATGAAAAAACTTTATTTTTAAAATATAATGACTAGGATTTTTTCCAATTTTCCAATTTAACTTTATAACAAGAGCATTAAGTTCTGCAATCAGAAGGTTGTCGGCAACTGAAAGCAAAAAGAAAAATACTGTAAATATTTTTGTGGGGGCATGTACTTTTAATCATTTAAATTTTAGAGTGTTAGTGAACTTGTTTATTTTATTACTGAATAATGCTTATAATTGGGTGTTTATTTTTCCTGCCTTACTTTTTCTCTGGGAAGCTGACATTGTCAGCGCTAAAACTTTTCAAGATTATGCCAAGAGGCTATTTGTTTATTTGAGGAAACTTGGGAGTAGATTGCTTGCTGCCTTGTGGGGTGTTTCCAGAAAAACTTCCAAAAAATGTTATTTTAATTTTGAGTTCCTTACTAATAATTCTGTTGTGCCATTTTTGTTACTTGGAAGTAGTTTGTGTTTTTCTGACTTCGATAAAAATGATAACAAGCCTGTTATCTAATAACTATGTACCTGGTGTCCGTCAAGGCTATGTGTTAAGATACAGCTGTTTTAAGGTTAGTTTTTCTTTGGGAGCCACAAGTATCATTCCATTATATTTATATTTTCATTTGGGTCTTTTGATTCCTGTACTATTAATATTTTTAGCATTTAGTGAAGTACATATCTAATATTGTATAACACAGTTTGCTTAAACCAGTCTGATTAGAAGAAAACATTTATTCAGAAATATGGGAAAGATGGTGATAGATTTTTAAGGATCTTGTATACTTGCCAACAGATTAGGACTCCCAACTAGTCAATTGTATTTGAAAGGATTATGTAATAAAATGTATATGAAAGTGCTTTGTAACCTCCAAAGTTTTTGTCAAGAAATAATGGTTTATCATCCTTGTACACTGTTGGTGGGAATGTGGACTAGTACAGCTGTGCTATGGAAAACAGTCTGGAGGTTCCTCAAGAACTGAAACATAGACTTACCATATGATCCAGTAGTCCTGCTTCTGGGTATATACTCAAAAGAATTGAAAACAATTGAAAGAGTGTTTGTACACTCGTGTTCATAGCAGTGTTATTCACAGTGTCAAAAGGCGGAAACAAGCCAAGCATTCATTGACAGATAAAATGTGGCCCGTACGTACAAATGAGTATTCTTCAGTCCTAAAAAGGAAGGATGTATTAAAAAAGCAAACACATGACCCTGGAGGACATTATGCTAGGCACAAAAGGACACAGACTGTCTGATTCCACTGGTGTGAGGGGTAGTCACACTGCCAGAGACAGAAGGGAGAAGGTGGCTGCTGGGGCAAGTGGGGAGGCGCCGTGGGCAGTTGAATGGCCGCAGAGTTTCAGTTTTGCAAGATGCAGTGGATTCTGCATGGGTGGCAGTGGCACAACAGCATGGATATATTTAATACCACCAAACTGTACACTTGAAAAATGGTTAAGATGGTTTAAAAAAAAAAAAAGCTTAATTGTAAATTTTACCTCCGGAAAAAAAGGGAAACTAATAATCCTCACTAGCTGGGAAGTGAGGAGTGGGTGGAGATATCTGATAAAACGAAAAGGCAGGATGTTGATAGTTGAGCTGTTGAAACGGAGTTGAGGGTTCATTGCACTAGTCTCTTTACTTTTGTATATATTGGAAGTTTTCCATAATAAACACATTTTTAAAAGATTATTTGTCATTTCAGTTTAGAAGACTAAAGTTATTCCACCAGGGGCTTCTAGTGGCTGCTATAACCCTCCATCACTAGTGAGCATTTCCGGTGGAGAGAGCGGGGTGTGGCTAGTGAGGAACCGAACAAATTCTGAAGCTTTCTGACTGGAAGGATGATGTTGCTTTTCACAGAAAGGATGCTGAAAAGGGGTGGAACTTGAGACGGTAAGAGGTCATGTAGGCAGTTCAAGTCTGTGAGTCCCTCTCATTGCCTGCCTTTTATAGCACAGTTACTGACCGAGACCAGGAAGATACTAACAGTTTTAACTGTGCTTCAGTATTCTTAATTACTATGTCCTTTCTTCTCATGAGCCCAGATAGGGCTGTACTTGTTGCCTGTATGGTCGGGAGCTACCGGCACATGACACGATTATTCAGCACTGTCAAGTTAATATTAAAAATATCATGGTCTGTACTTCATAGAGCATGAATTTATCGTAGACATTTTTACATTAAGATAGCATGATTCTGTTTTGCAACACTGGCGCAATTTTCAATTTCCATTTCAGTTCCAAACACGGACCCTTTTTCCTGTCACGGTCAGAGTGTGCCGCCCAGTTATTAGAGGTTTCAAATTATTAGTTTGATCATCTCTTCTAGACAACATGGTCCTGTTAGCACGACTGAGACATCAAAGGCCTATAAACATTCTAATCTGCTGCTGTGAAAACTAGACATCAGAAAGCAGAAACATTCGGACGTGTATACACATTAAATTTCAAAATGTACGAAATCTGGTCTTTAAGCCATTTTAAAACAAAGGATGAAGCAGGTGAGAATTTTTTCAATAACATTTGAACTTTCTAGAGTTTTTACTCTTGGTTTTAAAGACACATAATGTAGGGGACTTTAATATAAGAATAATGAAAGTACATTTTTATTTGCTTTGTATGGAAAATATCTAATTAAGCTTAATTCTGTGATGGCCTGATTCTGGGCACGACGCAGATCATTCTGTAAACATAAAGGATCTGCAGAGAGCTGAAATACCTACAGCTCATGTTAGAGGAAGTATATATATTTTTTAAATAAACAAATCTTAGATTTCTTTCTAAGTCTGTACCAATAGTTCTAATGGAATGTGGGTAGAGCCATTAAATGTTGAACCCAGCAAATTTGACATCTTGCCCTGCCTACCAGAGTAAGGTGAAAATAGTTGGTACTTATCTTCATTTAAGAGAACATAAGTATGGTAATTTCCTGCTAAAATCTGTAAGTGTGGTGGCCATTGACTTTTAACATTTGCTAAGATTATCAAAAATGGAAGAAATAGCATATTCAGTAGTTTCAACATATTCAGTAGTTTCAGAATGAATAGTCTGTATGTAAAGCATACATACAATAACTTGCAGGATTTGATGGCTAGTTTAATGTGAGATGTCATTGGCTTGTATTCTTTGTAACAGAGTAGTCATACTTTTCAGTGGAATGTACATTTTACCTGGATGTCAGCTGTCTAGTTTTTATAATTCTAGTATGGAAGAACTAGACGCCTGCCATATACCCTGTGCTGAGCGCAGAGAATGGTGGTGCCATCTAAGCATTGTGTTCGTGGACTAATCAAATTGTAATTGTGCATTTATTTAAAGAAATTTCTGGATTTCATAAATATTTTATCAATACAGGAGAAAATAAGGCAAGTCCCTAAGTTAAGTTTCAAATGTGCTTTTAATAGAGGATCTTATTAAATATGATTGCATTCTTACACTGTTGTGATTAACTTTTCATCAATCTGTTTTCTTCCAAGACTAATTTGTCTTTGTGCAGGTTTTGAACACCTACTCTGTATAAAACGTCAAGCTGAATACTGAGAGAAGTAGAAGTTAGAAGAGTCAATGACAGCTTGTTTTCAAGCTCAGGATAGAAGCCATTTCAGATGCTGAATACAGGCCTTCCTTGTTTTATCATGCTTTTTACTTGATATTTTATATTGCCTTTTTTTTTTTTTTAAACCAATTGAAAGCTTGTGGCAGCCCTTGCATCAAGCAAGTCTTTGGGTGCCATTTTTCCAACAGCATTTGCTCACTTCGTGTTTCTGTGTCACATTTTGATAATTCTCTTAATACTTCGAACTTTTGCAATGTTATTATATTTATTACGATGATCCGTGAGCAGTGATTATGACTCCCTGAAAGTTCAAAGGATGGTTAGAACTTCTTAGCAATAAAGTGTTTTTAAATTAAGGTACAATATACATTGCCTTTTTAGACATAATGCTATCACACACTTAGTAGACTACAGCCCAGAGTAAACATAACTTTTATACACACGGAAACCAAAAAAGTCATTTGACTTGCTTTATTGCACTAGTCTGGAACCAAACCCGCAGTATGTCTGGGGTATACATGTAGTCACTTGCTGAGAACGGAGATTCTGTGTGGTAGAAGTGTTATGGCTGGCTGTTTAGAGAATAGTATGAGTAGAGATGATGCTGCAAAGAGCGAGATGGTTAAGGGTGGTAAACGCAGTTCCCACTGCACTTGGGTTAAAGCCCCAAATCCTCAGTGTGCTATTTGAGACTGGTTGATCTGGCTCATACCTGTTTGCCCTTCTTCCATGGTCTCTGCCCACATTGCCCTTCTTTCTGATCCTCCAGGTCACCATATTCTTTCCTGTCTGAGGATAGGTAATTCCCTCTACCTGGAATGCTACTTCTCTTACTCTTTGCCTAGCCAATTCCTGTTCAGCCTTTAGATATCAGCTTGAACGCCACTTCCTCCAGGAGACCCCACCAGGCTGCCGTATAAGACCACACAAGCTGCACATCCCAGAACACCCAGCCCAGAAAGAGAAGAGCACGTGCTGAGGTTGTGCAGAGTGGCAGCCCAATCTAAATTAAGTCCCCTGTTGATGCTCTATCATAGCCTCAAGTGTTATTCCTTCATGATAACATCTTGAGCCCCTTAGATACCTGATTATCTGTGTAATGGAACTATAAGCTCCCCGAGGGAGGCGCCATATCAGTTTGTATCCCTAGACCCTGTGATTCACTTTTCAGGAAATATTTTTAAATGCATGAACCAACTCTAGATCACTCTTCAAATTTGGCAATTCAGCAGTAAAGAAAGAGAGGAAGGATATCAGCTGAGATGAGTCATGTATTCAAGGAAATGGATTGTGGATTGGTCTAGGATCAGGAGATCTGAATGTGTCTATAGGCAAAAGGAAAGGAGCTATTACCAGGAGAAACTGAAGATGTAAATGGATTAAGGCTCCACAGGAGTTATGTGATAAAAAAGGTCAACCTTAAAAAGAAGATCCCTGTTTACCCTTAGATAGGAGAAACTGTTTAGAAATAATCTATTACTGAGGGCTCAAGTAAAATTAGATATATGAATTAATCTACTCATAAGTGCCACAACACTTTCAATTATAGTGACTTGATAGCTAAAGAAAAATGCTAATGGAAAATGTTTGGAGCACCTGGGTAGCTTAGTTGGTTAAGTGTCTGACTCTTGATTTCGGCTCGGGTCATGATCTCAGGGTCATGAAATAAAGCCCCTCGTCAGGCTCTGTGCTGGGCGTGGAGCCTGCCTTTGATTCTCTCTCTCTCTCTCTCTCTCTCTCTCTCTCTCTCTCTCTCGGCGTGGTGGGGGGGAAGGAAGAAGAAAGAAAATGTTTAAAATCGTGTACATACCAGTAACTTCTGTGGTTCACAGTCAAACAATGCACTGTCATAGATCTGTAGATCTGTATGTCCCTTTTGGAGGTGGAAGGTTCCTGCAAGCGCCAAAATCTGGTCATGCCGGAGTAATTATGACTTATGCTGAAAAATTGAGGAATTCTGTCTCTGGTTAGTGATTTGGGGTAAATACAAGAGTAATTGCAGAGGTAAGACCATTTTTTAAATGGACAAATACTATTTTTAGCACATTTTGCTTTGTTCTCTACCTGAGAGACTGGTTTTCTTTAGTGAAGTTTTACCAGGAATCCTGACCAGTTTCATGTATTCTGTCTGTAAAGTGGATTTCACATAAAACAGCAAGATTGTCGTTGTGAAGGAGTTGGATTTGGAGTCAGATCACTGAAGAAATCGGTAACAGTAGCACAGTTTTACTAGATTGCCACTATCTCTGTAGGACGGAAGATAGGGTAAACAATCGATGACTAACTTCGTGGCACAGGGGGGGCTATTGGATAGCCCATTAAGTCCATGAAGGTAAACTCAACCTTGTAACCTGCCCCTCATGTTTAGGAGTAGGAGTGAAAGTGTCCTCTGTAGGCCACAGTGCGGTGTGCTCCATCCCAGGACCCTGAGATCATGACCTGAGCCGAAATCAAGAGTTGGCTGGTTGGCCGCTTAACCGACTGAGCCACCCAGGTGCCCTTCATTTCTTCCTTTCTTACTCACCTGTGTTGGCATTCCTTTGAAAAAATACTATTTTTGGAAACAAAATGCTGTTTTTGAAAAGAATGGCATATGTCTATTCAACAATGTCATTTATGCACTTAATAGTATATCTAGGACACCTTTCCACAGCTGTCTGAGATAAAATAACTTCTTTAACCAGCTTCCTTTGGACATTAGGATACTGGACAGACACTGGGATTGTTTTCCAGATTTTTTTCTTTCATTTTTTATATATAAATAGTCTCTGTACAGATATTTTTGCTTACCTGTGAAAAGCAATCTGAAGGATCTAACCCTAGAAGTCAAATTTCTGGGTCAAAAGCATGTGGGTTTTTAAATTTTAGTAGATAGTATCATTGTTCTTCAAAAATTTAATACCAGCTTACACCTCTCCCAGTGGTATATTTGAGTGCCCTATTTCCCACACTCTTGAATTTAATCATTACCCATTGTTAGCATCTCATTTTGATTTGCATTTCGTACATTTGAGTGAGTTTAAAGATATTTTCTTACATTTGCAGGTTAGTTTTATTTCCCAGTGAATTGTCTGTAATCATCGTCCATTTTTCAGTGGCTATCTTTTTCTTAACAATTTTAAAAACTCTGTGCATATTAAATTTTTTTTTAAGATTTTATTTACTTATTTGACAGAGAGAGACACAGCGAGAGAGGGAACACAAGCAGGGGGAGTGGGAGAGGGAGAAGCAGGCTTCTGACAGAGCAGGGAGCCTGATGTGGGGCTCGATCCCAGGGTCCTGGGATCATGACCTGAGCCGAAGGCAGACGCTTAACGACTGAGCCACCCAGGTGCCCCTGCATATTAAATTTTTGTTGCAAATATTTTCCTTGGCTTATTGTTTATTTTTTGCTTACACTTGTTTTTTTTGTTTGTTTGTTTGATTTGGTTTTTACTTTTTTAAAAATCAGTTGTGGATTTGTTTTGTTTGGTTGGTTGTTTTTTGGCTGCTAGGTTTTATGTCATAAAGAGCTTCCTGTACTTCAAAATTAATTTAAACATTTCATCCATATTTTCTTTAAGTATTTTTATAGTCCCTTTAAATGTGGTATATCTGGAATTTATTTTGGTTTAAGGAATGAAGGTAGAGAGAGAGCCAGCCTTAAGTTTTCCGAATGGCTAGCTGTGGTCTAAACACCATTTTTTGAGCACTCTCTCTTCTTTTCATAGAATCCTTACATTTGAGATTTGAGGTTTTCTGATAAATATTTTGTGTTTACAGTACCATTTAGGTAAAACAGTATGGAGATGCGTTGGGAAAGCTGTGCATGTAATATTTATTACAGGATTCCCATGTAAATTAAGGCTGCTCCTACAACTAAACAGTACAAGGAATAGCTTATGATCAGAAGAAAAAAAGCATAGCATGCGTATGGTTTTTGCTTAGATTAGGAGATGAGATGTGTATGTGTCAGAAGGGAGATCTTAGAATATGTAAAAGTACTAGAATCAAAGTAAACTAAGGAGAGACCATAATAATCAGGTTGCAGGTTCACTCCTAGTGTATCATGTAATAACCCTTTTTGTTAAAAAACAAACAGTCTAAACTAAGGAAATTATTTTCATGACAATGTATTTTAAAAATTGGATGTTCTTAAAATAATAGACATTTTTATAGAAATTTGATTCTGTGATTTGTTGACATTTATAACTAATGTACTGGAATTTATTGATCTTATTGAAGGAGAGACCTCACTGTGACATTCCTATGTGACAAGTGGAGTTTTATGATTAGTCTAACTTAAGACTGAGTATAAGGGTACTTATAGTAAGCTATAAGACATGTCTTCTGAGTCATAAAATCTCATTACTTATCATTGAAGTCCTTGATCAGAGTGGGAGTAGTGAAGCTTGTTAAAAGCATAGTGGCACACAGTATGTGTTGTTGCATTTCTCCTGCCTGGGTGCATTGGTTCAGGGAAACGGTAGGACTGTAACTTGTAAAACAAAACAGACTATGATTGAAGCAAAAAGGAATGAAGATAAAAGTTACTTAAGGGAAAGATCCAAGTTTTGGAGAGGCAGATGAAACCTCTTGTTACTTTTCGTTTTTGCCAAAGAATGGGAGCAAACATGAGTTGAGAGATGATGTGCGTGAAAGGACAGGTTCTCTGTGTTGCTGCGGGACACATTTGGGATTTACAGATAAGTGAATGTTCAAGGCATCAAGTAGAAAAAGTGTATCTATCAGTTATGTTTTCTCTGAAATTTACTGAAACTGAAAGGAGCAGGGACCTATGACATATGTGGTAAAGGAAGGAGGAGTGACCGCTTATATATAAATAAGACCAGCATTCAGTTTTCCTTGATTAAAATTTGAATGTATCAAAATGTAAGACTGTTAGAATCATTTTATGAACATCAGTGGGAAATGAACTTCCAAGAGCTTATTGATTTAAAAAAGGGTATTTTCACTTGATGCAAACCATAACCTAAAACCTAGGTAAAGCTCAAAACAATTCTTTTCTTCTTTATTCTAAATATTTAAGTGTAAATTACAAGTTATTACTTTAAAGAATGGCTCTGAAATCTATTAACTTCAGTCAGACCATTTAATTCTGTTACATTTGTCTAGATATTAAATGTAGTTGGACTTCACATGAAAAATTACAGAAGATAAGCGAACCCAGGAAATGTGTTTACTACTCTTGATTTAAGGTGAACATCAAGCTTAAATTTAAGATTCATTTTGATGTTTTTTGGTAATGTACCATGTTCCCACAAAATGAAAGGCTTTCATTGCTATACATAGATCCAGCAGAGAAATGCAAAGCATTAAACAGTAATGTTGTTAGTATAGACTCTAGTGATAATTTAGTAATTCTATATAATGGAAGTATATGGTGTAAAAAAAAATCTCATAAGCTATTTGTCTTCATTACACTGTAGTTAGGACCGATTCTTGAAGTGCAACTTTGGCAGCAGAACTTCTGAATTTTAAATTACAGCTTCAGTTGAATGAAGGACTCTTATATTAAGTGATTTTTGAAGGTACTTGGCTGGTTTAACCTTGCGAAATAGTGTGAGACATTTATATTTGGGATTGAAACTACCAGTGCTCTCCAAATGGAGGAGAATTAATTTGCAGGATTAATGAGGATTTTGGAAATATAAGCTTCACACTACAGAGACCAAATAATGGCTGGACGTCACTTTCAGCGTAAGATTTAGGCTTCTCAGTGGATTTTGTTTTAAATCCTGCAGTCTCATTCTCTTGTCATATAATATATACTGCCCTCCCCCCTTTCATGGAAACATAGCAATCCTTATTTTCTGTCTCCTTAGCATGATAGCCCAGACTTGAAATGGTAGTTCAGAAAGCAAGGATCCCACTTGCTGAGGTCTGGAACCCCGCTCTCCTGTTCAGCCTTTGGCTTCCAGCGCTTAGAAACATTCAGTACTTGTGGAATGAATGAATGCCTATTTTGATTGTAGAAACAAGTTACTTTTCATGTACTACCACTGTGGCTGTTGGAATTCGGAGTTTCTAAACATAGACACATATATTTCTAGGGCCAGCCCGTTGTTCTGGTTCAGCATTATACTTCCTTTCCTTACCTTGGTTTATTTGCATAAAGAGAGCTAAGTTGCTATCTAGTGTCATTAGCTTCATTAATGATATTTTTATATTTAACTTCATAAAAAAAAGGAACGTTTCAGAATCTCAGGAGATGAATAAAATACTAGTGTAGCTTTGTAGAACCGCCTTGGTATTAAATTTTCATTGTTACTATTACGCCCGGCAGCTGATGGGATAAGAAGAGCAGCCTTTCGTTCTAAATAGGATTGTGATGCTCTGGATAGAAATGTGTACATTTTCATTTCTCTGTGATAAAAATGGCTTCTGATATTTTATATATTTTAGTGTCATGTTAGAGATTTCATTCCATGATCATTTGTTCATTCACGTGTATTTTTATTTTTAGCTCTAAGCGAAAGACATGAGGCCTAAGACTGAGATGAGGTTGTTTTGAGGCCATCTGATTTCTGACTAGAAGGTGTGCGATCGCCTCGTCCTGAAACCACTTCAAACAGAATGGTAATGGCAAAACCTAAGAGAAAGAGAGGCCTTCATGTTTTTCCATGTCTGTTCTCTTATCCCAATTCCTTCCTCCTTAAGAAAAAAAAATCTTAAGTTGTGAACAAAAAGTATTAAACAACATGCTGATATATTCTAACTAAACTGGTTCAAATGTAAAGAGTTGTGTAAATCGACATATTAAGCCTTTTAGAGTTTAAACGTTTTAGTGAGCTCTAGTGAGCTACTTAACTAGTGACAAAATATTTATATGGAAACACCTAAGCCATTAGGAATTTGCAGATTGAAATAATTGTCTTCCTTTGAAACGAATAGGGTTTGCTCTTAAAAGGGACTGCAGACTTAAGTTTTTCAGAATAGAAAGTAAGGGTTCTTGTCACAGCTTTCTTTTGCTGTCACAAAAAATTTTGATGTCTTATGGATGCTTTTTTGTTTTTCTTTTTAAGATGTAAAGTCCTATGAAGAATGTTAGTGGTTATCAGTTAACTCTGCTTTAATTATTGCAGGTAACTTAGTTCAAAGTCTGTTTCATAGTTGAGGAGAAGAGCACTGTTTGTCTTTATTACAGTAAAACTTTTTTCGGGGCTGCTGCTGTTTATTAAGTTTATTCCAGTGGACCATGTCCTGTTAAAATAATGATGTAGCAGAGCTTAGAAAAGCAGTTACTAGGCTTAATTCCCCCAGGAATAGAAGTCCAGTAGGTTCTTTGCTGAAGTTCAGATTTTATACTAAGCCATCTTTTCAGAGTAAGTGGTTATTTGATCTTTCTTGTACTACGTGTAACAATGTTCATAGCAAAAACAGTATCACAGATTTACTTATATTTAGCCTCAATTACCCACTTGTTTAATTGGTGGCATGCCAAGAAAATGAAATTGTCATCCCACTCCAGAGGATGAGACAGAGGGCAGATTCTACGGAACTCTGACAACATTAATATATTTTTAAAAGTCACACTTATTTTCCTGTTTTTTTCCAGGGGCTCAGTTGTTGCTCTAGTTCTACATTCCCTCATTTCTCTACAAACAGTATTTTCTCCAACGTCAAGAGTGACTTAAATTTTTAAAATGTATTTTTATTTGTATACGTGGCTTTCTGTGATGGTAGACTTATTCACATGCCATGTAAATCCAGGCACTATTTAGGTTGACTGGAGTGTAATGATTTTATGTCTGTGATCTCAGTTTATACTTAAATAAGTCAGTCTAGCTTTGTCCTAAAGAGAAACAGTACACAACAGGTCGTTTCTTTGTTTTCCATATCTGCTGATGTGTTGTTTTACTCTTCTGAAATGTGAACTTTAACTCTTGCTTTTCTATGGAAAAATTAAATAGGCTAATGTAAAAAGCATCTTTTTTTAAGCCTATAGAAGTGTTCATATAGTTCACTTTCGTGTATTAATGCTTTAATGAGAAACAAGTACTGATTGTTTTTATTTTTTGAAATTCTCGTTTCTTATGTTTACCCCCAAATTTTTTTTTCAAATAAAGCCTATCTAAATTGACCATTGTCGAGGTTAGAAGACCGTTGAAGGTCATCTTTTCTGTTTCATGTGCTAAAAGTTAATGGGATAGAAGTACAGAGACTTTAACCACTATTAATTGGCTAAAAATATGGTTTCTAAAGGCATGTGTTATGTAAGAATGGAATCAGTAATTGCATTTATGCATCTGTATGTCTGTCACCATAATGATAGCTTTTAAAAGAAAATCTAGAACTTAATGCCACTTTAAAGCCTGAAATTGTAAATGTGAAGATATTTGGACCCAGTAAATACTAAATAGGTGATATGTGTGAGTATAGTTTAATATTTTTTAATAAGTAAACTGCCTTGTTTCTAAGCAAAACTTTAATGTTAGACTTAAGAGCTTATAACTGTAAGATGAGAAAGAAACATTAACTTTAAAATGTCGTTTTGAAAATTATAAAAGTAAATATTGACCTTTTCTAAAAAAGTTTTTCCTTTTGACATTGTTTAATTTTTTTCCTTTTTGTTTTTTAGGTTTGCAATTTTTTTTGGTGATGGCATGTTCAGAATCTTGGATCCCTAAGTTGAATATGTTGGAAATATTTAGGAACTCTGGAAATTACTGTTTTGTGTATATAATGACTTACTAGGTGAATCAGTAGATTTAATAAAAAAGTATATAAAAGAATAGGCATTATAATTTTGTGTTTCTAAGTTGACATGCATGTCTCAAATTCTCATCTATCAGTATTAGTGTCATTCCCTGGAGACAGTTATATAATAATTTGAAGATTTGGGGGTTTTTATGGACCCCATGTTTTCCCTGGCAGTTTATGTAATACTCCCGTGCCAATTTGGTCAGCTCCTTTTCCTTTCTATCTACCTTGCCATGTAGCTTACTTAGATCAGAGGTAATTATTGATCAGGAGGAGATCAAGTGACAATCCTAGAGGTAGTAATTACAGAATTTCAGCCTGGAAATGACCTCAGAATGGTCTGTATTAGAATATGTAAATTATATCCAAATACACTTGTGACCAGATGCTGCTGATTTTCGAATTGGATATTGTTATGTAGGACAGAAGTGCTAATGAGGAGGAAAAAGAGCTGTTCTGTTTCACCTCCTCCCTCTCTCCCTATTGTTGGGTGCATGAATTAGTGGAAAGTAAGATGGCCAAGGGGTAGACAGTATAAATGGAAAGGAGAAAAAACAAAACCTGAATCTCCAAGAAGGAATACTTTCCCTTAAAAATTTGAAAGTTAGCTCTATTCCAAGTACCTGAACGCACTATTTTAAAACCATAGGCTCACTTTCGCATAGACCCAGAATGTGAGTGAACTAGGGTGTGCTTGTCCAGAGGGAGAGCTGGAGAACTTGTTATCTGACAGGAGAGTCAGTGCTTGGGTGAGTCCGTGGTTGTCTGCTCGGATGAAGAGGTTTGAGGAGCATCATGGGGCAGTTATTTTGATAGTCAAAGACAACAGCCTTCCTATCCCTTTGACCAAAACTGGGGAAGGATTGCTTTTTAAGACTGTGTTTAGAACAGCTTGAAAAAGGATCATAGGGAAAGGCTGAGGAGAATTCAGGGCTATAAAGACTGAGTGGTAGCTCAGTAGAATGTTCATGTATTTGCTTATTGCAAGTTTTATCGTTGGTAGATTATCCAATAATGTGGAAGTTTGTGTACCACCAAAGTTTTCATAATGTTTCTACTGGAAGGCTTCTAGAAGCTAAATAAGATACACTGTAGCACCCCCCCACACACACACACCCCTTTGGTTTGCTTTATTTTAAGAGGATTTGACTGATCTGTATTTAATAGATGACACAATGAAAACATTAGATTTTTAAAAATTAAGTTACATTTTAATTTCAATGTGTGTTGCCTATTTGCTGCTTTCCCATTACAATTGGCTTTTTAAAAACTCTCCTTCTGTGATACTTTTGTCAATAGAGGTGTTTCCTCTTAGCCAATTCTAGCCACAGTATTGACTGGGCCTCAGCATTTGATATACCCAGAAGGAATTAGACAGGCAGGAAAAAACTTGGTCTCTACTGGAATGAATATTTTAAAAACCTTCTTAGATTCTGAACACTTTGAGTACAAAGGAAAGAGACCCAAGAGAGGGAAAAATATAAGAGCCCAAGAATAAAAAATGCTAGTGGGGGTGGGGGATCAACTCTTACACAGCTAACCCAAGTGTTGTCATAAGGGAAGGAAATGAAGTTCCTGGAGATGAGGAGGCAGTTTATAAAATCCCTGGACAGCAGGCATTCTGATAATCAGTTGGGTAGTTCACACTAGCGGGGCGGTAGTATTTTAAGGCTAGTGACAGGTGATCTGGGGAAATATTAATGTATTTCCTAACAATGAGTTTGGTTTTTATTTTAGTGTGTTATAAATGGGTATGCAGCTCAAAGATGAACATAATTCAAGATAAGTATCTTCATTCTTAGAGAAGATACAATAAAAAATGGATCTTTTGTCCCTATCATGTAACTTTAGAAAGTAATGTAGAATATGGAGCATAATAGAGAATTGATGGCATGAATATAATCAGTATTTGATGGAAGCTGTCTAGAAACTTCTAAGTAAAACCTTACATTTAATGTTGTCCTTAGTTGTACTGTAACAATTTTGGTGGGAAAATGTGTACCTTCTTGGGTCACCGTTCTCCATAAACTGGCACATCACTGTGAAAGTTTAGAAATCTGACTCCGTTTACCCCAGGGAGGAACACAGATCTTCATAAATTTGGGTACAGTAAGTACGTAGGGACCCACAGAGAAGGTGAGCCTAGAACAATGAGTGGTTCTTTGTATTTTGGTACTTCTCAACCCCCTTTTGAAAATGCGAAGGTAACTATGGATCCTTTCTCCAACAAGACTGCAATTTCTGAGGCTAGAGGGACTGCCCTTGGTTGTCAGGTCAGGAAGCCCTGATCTAAAAGATCGTCTTCATTTTTCTTCTGGCCTTGCTCTGACTTTATTGTCACTCTCTGTCAGGGGTTCTCTGTCACCTTTGAAGGGAGCTTCAAATCTTGAAGGACACTTACTGCCTTACACATTGAACTGAAGCCCCAAGTCCGGAGCTTTGTAATAAAATGGAGCAAACCTTGTCCACAAAGCGCTGCCCCACAAGTACAGTGGTAAAAACGGAGCCTGAGGCATGAAGGTGTGGCACAGCCTCCGAGCGAGTACCTGCTTCCTGCTCCTGTAGGGGCATTTATTCCATAGGAAGTTGAATATTAATGTTTTGTTTTTAAAAGAAGCATATTTCTTTTAAGAACTCCCAATTATTTTAAAGGTTTTCTGCCGAAGTGTGGCTTTCTCCTCGTGTGTTAGGATGTCACATTAATGGTGTAAAATGTGTACTTCAAATTAACACAGCAACTGGGAACTTGGGATTCTGTTACTTTGTGACTGTGAAATTTATAACACGTTTTCAGGAAAATTGTTGATTCCCAGATAATTCATTCTTAACTCCTTTCAGCTTCCTGAATGTATGATTGTTTCTGAACCTTATT